CCTTGAACTGGCCAGGGTTATTGCCAAAACACTGCCTACTATCTTAGAAAAATAATTTAAAACCTTTACTTCCTACTTCAAAAGTTGGCCATTGAGAGCCCATTTATGTATGTAGACATAAAACTTCACTGGCTTTCAAGGAGGCAAAGAAAATGCTTGAGCTATTAAGTACATCCAAGCGAGGCAAGCCAGCCCAAACTTAACTTTCTCAATGTACTTGCTTTTGTAACATGCAGCAGCATTGAGTTTTTACATTTCACTAGGAATTACAGATTTTATCTTCCTGTAGTATAAGGCTGCTAAGGGAGTTCTCAAATTTTTGTTTCCAATTACATCACATTACAGTAAACTCCAGTTTTACATAAGATACCCTTTTAGGCTAACATAGTTGGAAAGCTGTTACAGAAAATCATAGCCTTTGGGCCAAATGATTCTGTAAAAAGGAAAAAACACAAACATCAACAAAAAAACCCTCACTTTTTTTCTGGTCATCTTTTTGTCTTATGGACAGAAAAGTTATGTTACTGCAACAAATTTATAAATAAGGAAAAATATATTACTGGAACTATAACCAGAATGTCAAGAAGAAAAAAAAGTGGTTCAAATGCTGTGCAAAGTTAACTCCTGAATCTGTTACTTCCAGTACACTTCAGCTGACAATATAGTAAAGGCATCTCTTTATTATGAACTAAGAAGTCACAGTTTATTCAGTGATCATGATTTATTTCTGATCACTTTAAAAATTAAACCTTTTGCACAATCTGGTACAGCTGTTGTATGGTGTTTTATGTTGGGACCTCATAGTTTCCCCAGACAAAAATTCCTACTTCAAAAGAAGGAATATAAACCAGTAAATTTGGTCCTCCTTTTTCAGTCTGTCTCATGCAGGGCTTGTTTGCATGTTTTTACATGAGCTAAATCACTTTCTCGTTTTCCTGTTTTCAGATATCTTGCTTAGGTATCACTACAAATGAAAGAATGAATGCAAGAAGATACAAGCACTTTAAAGTTACAACCACATCTATTGAAAGCCCATTCAAGTAAGTTTTAAAGTGTAAACAAATCTATTTCTTACTTGTGTAGCCTTGCATATGTTTGAATTGTGCGGCTTGTTGAAACAACATAGCTACATACTTTCAAGGTATTTTCACTACTTGGAATGCTGAATCTGTCAGCTCTTTTTACAGTAACACATTCTGTCCAGTTAAAGGAAGTGATAAACGTTTTGTAGTGACTCTAGACAGGGATGCATAAACACAGAAACTAATGCTTTCCAGCAGTGGACATATTTTGCTGTAGAGTTTATGGGGAAATAAATATCCTCTTTATAAATCAGGTGCCCAAACCAGGGGTAGTTGCTGATTGCATGGTGTCGATGTTGACCTGGATCTTCACTTCACACCAGGCACTTTTTCCTGATGGATATCTAATGTGCTGTTGAGTTTGTTCTGTGCAGTAGCTCTCTTTGCTCTCTTTACCGTGAGAAGAGGCAGCACTTCCTTCCTGCTCAGGAGGAAGAGCATGGGCAAAGCTATTTGTGGGGAAGGGAGCAGGATGTTCCAGGAATTGAAGTGGATGTTGCATGAATGAGACGTGCGCTTTTGGGTATCAGTTTGTAACGGGTAGGTTAGGATTCTGGTTTCTATAGTGATGAGGGTGCAAGCTGAGGGAGGGGCTCGGGGATGATATAGCACTGGGATGGGACTATGGTGGCATGGAGCAGCTTATGGAGCCAAAGCAGGAAATAAATGAAGGCATGAGGCTGGAATATTGGTGGGTTGAGGGCTCATTACAAAAGGAGCAGCGAAAGGATGAAAGCATGTCTCAATCCCGCTGCATATGCTGTGTCCCCTGTGGGAGCTGCTGCTCTTTCAGGTGACACCCAGGGGAAAAGGAGACAGAGGGTTCTTGTTGCAGTTTGATTTTGTGCTACAAGAGACATTTGTGTGATCTTTTTTTAATATCCTTCCATACAAAACTTCTAGTGAGGAGTAGACAAGCATCTCTGTATGGTTGCAGTGTTCCTGCAGATAAGAGTTGTAACAAAAACATAATTATTTTGCCTGAAGAACATAGGGCAGTGCACAGAACAGGAAAAAAACGCTGGTTTTATCTGCAGATTAATGTCACATTCACAAACCATTTTCACTGAAATAGCTGCTGTTATAAAAATGACTCCTGAAAATAATACCAGATGTCTAAAATAACTGACTTAGCATCACCTGTCAGATGAAGCATTGGCATCAAGTAGATCGTCATCTCCTTGTTGCTTAGACCTGTTCTTGCATATGTCATAACAGGAGCTTCTGTTCCAGAAAACCGTAATCTATTCAGCCCATGTGTAATTAAGCTAAAAAACCCCAACATGTTGGAATTTTGATGTAGGTATCTTAAATATTTGACATTTAATTGATTCAGCTGCAGAAAGCACTTGAATAGTTCACTTAATTCGGATAATGCTTTCTTCATTTTGTGATGTCTAGGGACTTAATTGATCTTAGACCTGCAGCTGGTGAACCAGTATGTATGACAGAAATAGATATTAATAAAAATGGAAATTATTCTAGGAAGACATTCACTTCATACTGTTTTGTGTTGCATCCAGCTCTACAATGCAATTTTCCTCTTAGAAGGGGATCTGAATTACCATGCTGTGCTACATCATGGTGCACTGCCAGTAAGACGCTACATTTCTCCATACAGTGGTAGATAGTGGAAGAAAATTAGTGTCTTGGTTGTGTCCAAGGATCAAACATTCACCAGTCTGGTGACTACTTCTTATTTCAGAACTTGCTCATCAGCAAGCACTAAGAAGCACTTAACGGAATTGGTTTTCTACAGTTAGGAACTTAAAGGGTGAAGAATTGAATTTGTAGGTAGGCAAAAAATGTTGTACTTTGTTGGATGAGCTATGATATTGCTTACTAACATGTGTTTTTGTTTTGGTTTTAGCCATGGATGTATAAGGAACATTATAGACTTCTTTGAATTCAGATGCTGTGGTCTTTTTCGGCCTGTTATCGTGGACTGGACAAGGCAGTATACAATAGAATATGACCAAACTTCAGGATCAGGCTACCAGCTAGTGTAGCACCACCTTCATCCTGTGAGCATATCATATCTGAGTGGTGCCTGAAAAATTTTCACTCTCTCTCGAATCCGCATCCCTTGAAGAGTAGCATGCTATGTGTAGGGCTGATGATGAATCTTAAGGTACCTTCTCTTCATCAGAATTTTATTAACAAAAGTAAAAATGGACAGAATAAACTGCCAAACCTGATAAGGAAGAGGAGGAAGATCAAAAAGGGATTTTAACAGTTCTTAACATGAGAATTACTCGCGACAGCATATTCACAGTATTTGTTGTTTTTTTTATTTAAGGTCTTTCACAATGGAGCATGAGATTATTGGAGTATTGACATAAGTAGTTATGTTGTGCTGAGCAGAAAAAATTATTTCCCAATATGAATAATTCCACTGAAACAAGAATCTAGAATATAAAACTAAATTTCATGATGCAAAGTTCACCGATCGCTATGTTGTAGTTCCTGTAATGTGATTTTTTTAATACAGATTTTCTGTAGTATTATGTACATTGAAAAATGTGGGTTTCAATACTGTTAGAAACATCATGTGGTGAGAATCCCCTGTAACGTGTTAACTTATAGCACTAGGGCACATCAGATAATGTTGAGAAAAAACACGTTGCCCACATTTTTTGGTGATTGTTTTTGCCACCAGTTAGTGGTATAACTAAATAAATCCTTGTAATAACCCTGTTCTGAGATTATATAGTCTGAAATAAACAATTGCGCAAATAAGGAAAGCTCTTCTGTCAAAGTTAAAGCCCTGCTTAAATGCATGATGCACCTGTAAAACTAGATTACAGTATATAATGTTCAGGAAAAAAGTGGAAAATATTCATTATCTTTGAGGTAATTGTATAAGCAACATACAAACTGGCAATGTTTCAATATTAGGTTTGGTCCTCAAACAGTACAGTCTAGTGTAATTGGAGACATGTTAGAAGAGAAATTGCATGGGGGAAACCACAGATGTGAAAGCAAAAATCTCAATTACAAAAAGGCAAGATAGTTTTAAATTGAATGCAACTGCAGGAGAAGAACCCAAAGTTGTCTGAAATGCTTATTTTGTTTGGATGTAATAATGGAAACCAAACTTTTAAAAAAATTTTTAAAGTCCCCATCATAGCATGCACACACAGAAAATGTAATGCAATGTTCTGAAGAAGATGGCGTATTGGCACACGGAAATCACCCTTAATTTTTTTTTTTTTTTAAAGTTCTCATGCTACAGATATGTTTGGAAGGTAAGAAATGATCTGAAATTGCATTCCAAAGGGGCTTTTCTTGAATGTGATGCACTGATTTTTGTTATGGTGTTTTCATATACTCATAGTGACTTGTTCACTGCTTCCTTAACTATTGTTTACAGAGAGACTGAAAATCAGGTTAGTTCTCTTCTAAGTGCTGTAGCAACCCAGTGGTTCGAGAAACCTGTGAGGGGAGTTTGGGGAGGGACCTGAAAGCAGATGTCTGAAACCAGTGTAAAGAATGTGTATCTGTATATAAATAATTTATCAAACAGTTTTCTCTCTGTGAGTGTGTGTTTAGTGTATTTAAAGCTGCTCATTTTCATTTTATTCAACCAAAAAAGTGTAGGAAGATATCTAATGAGCTTTTAGTGATGTTCAATATTGCTGTTAATAGGCATTATGCCCTGCAAATTCACTGCATGTTTGATGCTTGGCAAAATTAGCGTTTTCTGTAATATGCAGATTACAGGTAATAAAGCAATCTAGTGGTATTCCCAGCCCTTGCCTTAGTAAGAGGAGCAGTGAAACTGTAAATAGTTGATGTTCAGTATTTGCAAGTAAACATTTTTTCTGTAGTTGTTCATTGATCTCAAGACACACACTTAGTTTGCAAGTACCAGATATCAGGATTTACAGAAGTGCAGCGTTAGAGTACTTGAATGTTTAATACTGGAAAAATCAACATCGTCTTGGACACAGTTTTAATGGGAATGGTTTAGGTGTAGGGGTGGCAAGAAGCTTTTGCTATTTTTGTCAGACAAAATTTGTAATCCTAATGAGGACGCGTTCTATTTTGGTGAAAACAGTTGACATCAGTTATTCATATTTTTTTTTCTAATCAGGAGAAAGCATGAAGACTTTACAATATTGTTTATTTTAATCACCAGTAATGTTCTGCATATTTGTTCATGCTTTTTTTCACATTTCTGTTGGGGGTCGGTTGACTTGAAGAACTTCAATCCACTTTTATTAAATACCACCTAGCACCAGAAGAGCAGTTCAGTACGTGATACAAGTTCTGGTTTTAGTTGCCCAGTAGCATTAACTACCATGAATTGTGTCATGCAGTCCACGTCAAAAATGTTTGCAAAAGAAGAGGTGATCTTTTGTAGTGCGTAGTTAGTTCTGCACTGTTTACTTGTCAGTAGCTCTCTGGTGACAGTTTTGTTGAGACCTGTAGAATTTGAGCAATGGTAGGTAGTTGTGAAAAATAACTTGCATATATGGATTTGGGATGTATGAATTTTCCAGTGCAAAATGTAACTTGTCTTGAGTAACACTGAATCGTTTGATGTGAAATCATAAAATCAAGCAGGGGGGAGCCAACTATGCAGTATTTTTCTGTCAAGTTATCAAACTTACAATTTACTTGTTGAACCAAAACTGCATTGCTTCTGAAACTTAACAAAGCTGATCCAGACCAACAGCAGATCAGACCAACTTAATCTGACATAGGTAGAATAAATGGGAATTTTGTCTTGGCCCTAAACATGTGCTGTTTCTTTGCAGGTTTCTGTATTCTTTGATGTCCACCAGATTTCTTTTTTTTCAATTAATGTGTAAAACAGCATCACTACATTTTAAGCTATGGATTTTTTTTGTATATTCTTTATTTATAACTGTGCCAAGTATTATTTTAATACTGTCGAGATCTTGATGTATTACATTGTGAACAAAAAAATCTGTAAAATGTTTAATAAATTAGCTCTCCTTACATAAATTAAATCTGTTAAATTTTGTAAGTTATTAATCAAATAAATATTGACTCTTAGATGCAGTGTTTGTCTTGACTTGGCATGTGATTTCACACAGTGTTCTTTCTGTCCCATTTCAGATGCCGTACCATGAGAAAATAGCTGCTATCTTGCATCTTATTTTGGTAAAGTCTTTCCGGAAAGATTTACAGTGTCTTAAAGATAGCATGCACCCAGTTCTGTGCTCATGTGAAATCCTGTGAGCTACTACACTGGGGTTTGTAGTACCAATTAGAGTTACCATTCGCTAATTAGATAATCCTTTCTTTTGAGCAAAGCACGCTGGCAAGGTAACATTTCTTAAGGGAGAATTCCTTCTAGGGAATGTTTCAGGTGGCCAAATGTACATATTTAATGACACTTGAGGTATTCTGAGAGTAAACAAGACATCCACATAGGGCTAGTAGGTATGACCAAGATGTGTGCTTCTAGGTGGCACTTGAAGGAGACAGAATACCTTGACTCTTCTGGTCTGCTAAAGGTCAGATTTTGAGTAGAAATAAGGTAAGCATCCAAGCTGGAATTTAATCAGGATATTTATAACCAGCAATATGTATTGAAGTATAAGGCTGGGACTTAAGAGCACAACTAATGGAGAGAAAAAAGTCTCTGTTTTCTCTCTGTTCTGCTGAGCCAGGGTTCAGTATTGACATTGAGAATTGTTGGTGCTGTTCTCCCCTTCCCCAAGCAATGGTTCTGGTGAGGCTGGGCCCAAGCTCGCCTCTGCTGAGCACCCTTTGACTTGTCTGGTAAAGATGAGGGAAGGTCCTTTCTTTTTTAGAAGAGACATTCTGTGCTGAAGATCTCCATCAGAGATTTGCAGTGCTCCATCAAGAGAAGTTGCTGCTCTTGGGAAGTATGGGTGGGCTCCTGATGACTTGAAAGCTGGTTACTTGGTTTGTTTTATTTGGCAAGAAGCCTGCCCTCTGCACCCGCATTATGGCTTGATTAAAGTTCACTCCCTTGCACCTCCCATGAACTGCCTTTGAGTAAAATCAGGGTTTTTTGCTATGAAAGCAATGTTTACTTGTGAATGCTCGCATTTGGATTTTATCCACCTTAGGCTACTGAACGGAGATCAGTAAAAATGGCACCTACTGGTTCCAGGTTGAATTTATTTGCAGTGTCTTATAAACCTAGTGCCGTATCTTGTAAACTTCGTGCCATACTCATATTGCCTCCAATCCTACATACTCCTTAAGATCTCCAGATCATGAAGTCACAGTACTTTTGAGGACCAATCTCTCCTAGAATTTAGGGCTCTAAACTGGGACTAACTCAAAGCATTACCTCCAGCCTGGGCTGAGCTTTTATGCATCAGTGCTTTGCTGCAGCTGAGAAGTTGACAGTAACCAAGTGAAAGCACTTCAGTGTAAGGTGCTCATTTCTCTTGACAAATATATTGCCTTCATGGTTACGAGTTTTCTTTTTTCCTTCCTTTCTTTGTTTTTCTGTCATTAAATAAGTTGTTGAGATGTAGAGCAGTGTGGAGCTGTGAGTTACTGCTATAACTTCCTCCAGAAAATGAAAGCCCTTGATTTTTAGCAGTTTAAATCACTTCTGATCGCGGCTTCTGGTCATTTTTCTAAGAATTGAAAGTTCTTTTTTTATAGGCAAATGAACAGTATGTTAGATGCCCATTTTTGTCAGCATAAATCACACCTGCCAGCTGTGCTAATGTGGTGCTTTAGATCAACTACAGTAGCTACATCAACTAATGGGGGAGCAGTTTCATCTGCTCAGTAGTGTGTCAAGAGCATTATTTTGCTTTCTGTCTATCGAGCAGTGCCGCTCCATATTTTATAATGCCATTCCCGAGAAGAGGAAGCACTTTCATTGGGTAACGAGGCTTTGGAAAGGGGATGTTGTCATTGCCTTCATGTCCTTGGCTGCTGGGGCCTGGATACCACTTCTAAGTTAGAGCTGTCCTTGCTCAGGTTAGAAGAGTCAGAGGGGATCAACCTTCCTGCACAAGTGTCAAGCTGGCAAAGGAGAAAAGAACTTTTTCTTTTAGGAGAAAAGTATTAGGATCATCAGGATGAGTAGCAGGACCGAAGGTTTCTGCCCAGGTTCCCTGGGCTGTGCTGTTTCTGTCTCGCTCCTGCTTAAATGTGTACTGCCTTACTGTTGTCTTTTTCAGTTGTAATCTTTCCCTCTCTGTGAACTGCACAAGCTCTTGGCTCAGATTTTGAGCCGGCTGTTCTTCCTCATATCCACATTGTTCCTTTGTAACCTTTACAAAATGCTTTTTGTGTATTATTTTGACTAGTACGCATTTTTCTAATTAGGCTTTTGGCTTGCACTGCTTCACTGCCTCAGACCACGGTCATAGATGTTGCTTGAAACTCTGCCTTAGACCATGCCGACACATTTGCTTACGATCTTATTGTAGCATTCCCAGTCTTGAATGCGTCTCCATAAATTCACTCTGTGAAGGTTTTTTTTTTTCTCCCAGAGGTATCAGCCTGCTTCCCAAACCAGAGTTTCAAATCTCATCTTTTCTTTAAATAACTTCTGTTGCGCATGATGAGAGTTGAAGGTCTGCTTCAGGTGCTCAAGAAACTTAGGCCCAGATTTAAGAAAAAAAAAAAAAACACCAAAAAAACCACCCAGCAAAACTGCTAAGCTGTTCATACTAAATGCTGGTTACTTGCATAAAAATAGGGCAGCTTGCCTCAAACTGGGTGATGTTTTGTATCACAGTTTTAGGCTTAAGTACTTCATTCTCACATAATGCCTTTGTGGTGGGCTGGTCCTGGGTCTCCTTTTGAGCAGGTGACTCCCATTTGCTTCACAAGAAGTGCAATTGCAGGTGCTTTCAGCTCAGGCCTCACAGGCTTACAGTGGGAGCTGCTCCAGCCACCAAAAGAAGCCAAGCTCTTCTTTCTGTAAGCTTTTCCACTCAAGATCTGGCTAAGGCAAAAGTAATTGTCTCCTAATCATAGACCTTTAGGAACTGCAGCTAATAAAGTCATGTTAGCAGAGGCAAGGACCCTGACTGTTACCGCAGTCACCCAGCTGGTGTGTTCGCATGGAGTAGATCTACACTGCATTTGATGTGTTTAATTGCTATTAATCCTTGCCCATCAACATGGATTCAAGTCACGTTATCTACCAGAGTGTTTAAAGGTGGAATTTTATTCTGCTCTTTTGTTGCACTACAGCTACCTTGTCAGGCACTGTCCTCAAGAGGCTGAAACCCTCCACCATCTTCAGGGAACTGAGGGTTGTAACACTGCTGAGAAAAGGTTAAAAACTTCTCTTAAACCTGAGTTTGTTGTAATAGTCCAGAGCTTGGTCAACTGTGCAGTAGGGATGGTACTCATCTGCAGCTGTCTCGGTAGAGTACACCTTCTGCACAGTTAAGTCCTGTGCATAGTAACACCTCAATACCGAAGCAGGTACAATCCCGCAAAATACTACGGTGAAAAAGGTTTGTTTTCCATTCACTAGAGGCTCTATAGCGGAGACAGCCAGCCATTTAGGCACACAGCTACTTATAATCTATCATCTTCAGAGCTGTGTCACTGCACAGAGCAGTAGATTAAGATTTACTACTACTGTGCAATGACCAGCTAGCTGCCTTACACATGCGTGTAATAATGGAGGACAGTCATTCACCACTGAAGGCCATGACCAGTGCTACATATTTCCAGCTTTCAGTCATGTTGGGCTTTCAGTGAAGGTCTGCACCAAGTCTACAGCAACATCTCTCCACCCCTGCACCCCCAAAGCACCCCAACTCACCTTACTTAGCTTTTTATTGCTGACAAAGTGTGTAACATTTGGGTTTAGGATACATCAACAAGCAAAGCTTTATTGAATTGATACTCAGTATTAAAAGTGTTACAGTGTGATACACAAAGCAAGGAAAAAAGCAGTGCTTTTTTTGGAAAAAAAACAAACCAAAACAAACCATCTGCTGAGTGTATGGCCCAAGCACTACAGTAACTAGTAGCAGTTTCACAGTAGTTAGTAACATTTAGGAAACTCTCTTCTTTCTTGTAGCAGGATCTCAGTAGAGCCATAAGGGGTTTGGAGCCGTGCCCCCTCACTGGGCGTGAACGAGGGCACCGGCTCCCTGGCCGTAACCAAATCCCTTGGGGCCGAAGTTCTTTGCATAACAACCTGCGAGGAAGATAACCGTGTAGTAGCTGAGGCTTCTGGCTCATTAATTAAGAACAGCACTGTCTAGGCTAAGCCCCTCAGCCGCTTCCCATTAGTCCCCAGAACATCCTCATCGGAAGCAATGCTTAAAAACATTCTGTTAAGCTGCGTAACTGCCATGACTGAACTCAATAGCCATGGCTGTGCGGTCCACGTAGCTCCCACACTACTGTGAAAGCAAGTCATACTTTGGTTCTGTGGCTAGATATCTGTTAAGACACAAGTTGTTCATCAAACCACTGTGTAGATCAAGTTTATATCCATGATACCATGCAAGAAGGCATGGCAGGATGCTTGCTAGCTTGTTTCCTTACTCTGATCTGCTCTCTGACCCATGCAGAGGGCATGGGCTGCTGCTGCATTTCTCACTGCATAATGTTTTGCTTGATGCAGATGTAAGCTACATCCGCAGCTTCAGTAATATTCATTTCTCAGCTCGATTCCTATGACTTATAGAGCACTTCCATCTTGACAGGAGCCTGGAAGTTTCTTATACCGGGAATAAATTTAGCATCTGTCCTTGTAACGCATTACCTTGAACCATAAACAAATGATCTGTTTCTTTCCTCACCTTTACAATAGATTTCTCCCTCTTTTTCAGTTAGGGTTGTAGATTCTAGGCTTTTTCCACATTTGGCACATCGGAAGCAGTTTTTGTGCCATGGCTAGGGAAAAAGAAAAAAAAAAAAGGATAGTTTAAATACACAGAATGCCTGAGTTGATAGAAAAAATGCATTAACTGGAGATGCCTGCATTAGTATTGTTTATAGATGACTGGTTCAATAAAAACCAGTTCAAGTGCACCAGTAGCAGAGAGAGTGTCTGCATTTCTGCGAGTGGCCCAAAGCCCAG